GGGGGATGCAGGCGCTGATTTTGGCAGCGAACCCGGGACCCCGAAAAGGCAGACCCAAGATCATCGGCCACTGTGTCTTTGGGCAGCCGATCCAGAAGAAACTGTAGCCGGCAGCCACCTCCTCTACTTGATCCTTTGCAGCGAATTGGGTCTCGCTCAGAGCGCTTTTTCTCAAGCGACTAGCCCCGCGAATGGTGCATCTGCAGTCCGCAATTTGCATGCACAGGATCTGATCCCAGTACTTGTTTAGGGCCCCTTTTCTAACCCATTCTCCTGGGAGTAACCGGTGTTGTCTCTAAATAAGGCTGTTCAGAAATCCGAGACAGTTGCCAAACTCCGCTATAGATTACCGTTTGGCTTAGTGGAAGAGCGCCCCGAGTTAGTTTGGGCCACCTACGAGAGTGCATGTCACTCTTTCCGTAGAAGAGTTGAAAGTAGGGGGATGGCAAAGGGTAGGGATCCGAAAGGAAACAGAATTACCGGATGTGCGCACCCAAAGCACCTGATAGCCTCATCAGGTCAATTCCGCTGGGTAAGACGGTTACCGGGATGTGATTGCTAGGCCGAGCCTACCTTCCAGGAGCCACAGGTGAGAGTTGAGTGCCACTTAAGGGCCGTCAGAGTAATTCATGAGGCAAATGGAACGATCTAGTGCTCTCTGCACGATGACCCCTGACTAGACACCCCTCCATCTTCCTGCACCCATACATCGTGTACGGATTACTCTTGTGGCCGTTGTCCGACAAGACAGAGAGACAGGATCAGCATGCCATGCGCTTGAGTTCCTACTCAATTCCAGTAGATCTGGGTCATTGTTTTGGTTAAATTAAAGATAAGTTTGGAGGTGACGTTTCTAAAGTGAAGAGTCAGGGCTAAAGATAAAGTTATACTATAGCTAGATCTGGGGAAGTGTTATAATGATTGTTACAGTTAGTACAACGGCATGGGAATAAGTACGCAACATCGAACTTAACTAATGGCAATCTGTCTTACACTACAGACGGTGATTTTGCCGTATGCGGTCGGAAATCACTCTGTTTTGCATGTCGCAATGGCAACTGGTATCGATTTGGATTTATTTCCTTGCCAGATTGTGCATTCTTTTTCTCTGGTATCGGCTGTCACATTCGTCAACAGATTGAGTATATGTCGTGCTGTCTGGTAGAAGTAAACAGGCGAGTTCCAGAAAGCAGTTCAGAAGTAGAAGATGCGATTGCCGGAAAGAGAAGCTTATTGGCCCAAAATTTCAGATTCTCGTTCGAATTCATCATCAGAGGCAAACACAGACAAAGGCAAAATGTAACCTTCTTCCTCAACATTGTAACCAGTTTTTTTTATATTTCATGGTAGACACGCGACCGCATGCACAATACCGCTGGGGCTATTGAGAGCTAGTTGCTTTCTCAACACCAGAAGGATTCCCAAATAACAAGTCTGGTAAGAATGATTGAACTCGAACAACTTTACTTCTCAAAAAGCTGTACAGTGACGCAGCGTACGATAGCCAGCCGTGTAGGTGCAAAAGTCGAAATGTGAATAATCAATCGGCTGACGCTTATCAAATGAGGCAGGATTATCGATTAGCTACACGCGTAAACGCGATGAGTTGACATCAAGCGGGCAAAAGGGCGATAGCGTGCAGTGAGCGAAGGTCAGCGCACGAAGGGCAGCATGAGTCAGCGCAGTGGCTCTGGGCGACGGATCCCTACAGGGGTTGTAGTTGATGCGATCATGGCTTGACAGTCCCCGTCTGAGTCGCTAATGGCTAATCATCCTTGTTGGATGTGGGCGTGATAATTACGCTGTTGGTTGTCACTGGGAGTGTTGATCGTCCGCACCTTAGGCCCCAACTAACTGCTTCTCCTACTCTGGCAAAGTCTCAGCAGAGAATATGGAAAAGATAAGTATTTACGCTTGCTGAGGGTCCGCGGCCCTCACGGGTATGGCTCTAAAAACTCGGGTTTCACGCGGTTGTCACCACTTCAGAGGATTTCCGCTACCTCGCCTACATCAGTCAGATGTCCCTAGCAATCCATATTACCTAAATAATCGGCGGCGTACGTTTCGCCGTCAGGTTTTAATGGCCCCGATTAATTATTAAGACTTCCATAGACTTTGCAAGTCACTGCTATGTTATTCGTTATTCTACAGTTTCAAGGAGTGGCAATTTGTGTGAGCAGCCATTGGAAACTGGACCGTGTCGGGCTTTTATTCGACGTTACGGATTTAATCCCCAGACGGGACGCTGTCAATTCTTTACATACGGTGGCTGTGCTGGTAATGCAAACAACTTTGAGACCGAAGAGGAATGCATGGCTCGATGTGGAGGCGCAGGATCAGGTAGCGTAACAATTTCTCCTGTAATGAGCTAATCGATATTAAATCGACAGGTTTTAATTACAGTGCATACATTAGCAGTTCATTTAATCCGATACAGGCTGTCTGCACTATTTGGAGTCTACAATGAGGCAGTTAAAACCAGTGATTCATGGGTTTAGATTCATTTACGGAAAATGGTATTGCCAGTTGGGTTCTTTTTGATAACGAGATTGTTTCAGTTGACGAGATTAAGATAGATTGAGCTAATTCAATGCCGAGAGAGACACATCCCCTATGAATATCGTGTGATCCTTTAAATTGTTCCCCCTGGCTTATCCGCCTAGTGTAACTGTATGATGTGGCTAGGAAGGAGGCTTTGAAGACCATCGTAGCCATTTCAACCAGCTGTGTATCTACGACGACTGGCTGCTGTAACGTGTAGGACATTTGGCAACGGGACTTCGAATGCGACGCCAAATACAAATGACAAAAATTGGAATCGCCAAGATCGGCTATTTTAATGTTTTTGACACTGTCTTTAAGATTGAGATTTCTATTTGCGAGGCCCAAATGCTATATGTATATTTCGCATTCGTTTTTAGCAGACTTTTGTCGAGACGTCCGGTGTGGCCCCAACGCTCGGTGCGAGGCCGGTAAATGCGTTTGTGAACAAGGCTATGAGGGCGATGCTGAGCGCGGTTGCCAGCCAATCCAATCAGGTTCATTTATCGTATTCTTCACTTCATGTTTGCTTTTCCTTCTTTCGGTTCATCTAGCTTTCGTTTTCTTATGCTGTGATATCCTGAAAATAAGCATTCCAAACTTTTGACGAGATGCTTATTTTTTCTTAGTAGTATTCCAGCATAGACAGGCAATACCGCAGGATAGCTATTTCGGGCTATTGGCCCTCATCAGCCACGGGCAGCCAACTCAGGTATAGCAGCTGAAATTGCCGCCGCACCCGAGTTTCGAACTCGCGCCTCGCC